TTTCTAAAATGACTAATAATTTAGCATAAGTCGATATCTTATTAGCTAATGACTAATTATTTTACGGTATTATTTTTAATGTGGTTTGTACCAACGCATAATAATAAGATTAATATGTATCTGCATACTTGCAGGCGACAGGAAGTTCTTATAAAACTTACTTATTTCTGCGTAATGTACTATGATTATTTCCTACATTAGACCGTTGATATATGTCTTTCAGATGCTGGGATTCTACTGAATTATATGGCAGAGGACGCAGATCTAGATAATCTCCCCAATATCTCACTTTCGCTCCGAGCATATTAAAAAAACTCCTTATAGTAGCCATAAAAATTAACAAAATTTAGTGTTGATCCAAGAATTTGTGCTAAATATGTACGTACAAGTTTCTCCTATTTCATATAAACTTTTATCACCAATAAATGTGCTTTCCCATCGGGCTCATAATGACAATAGAGCGTACAACTGGTTTCCCCTCCACCAACCTGGTGGGCCGGACTTCCCTGCAAATCAGCGCATGTTATGGACGCCGGATTGGTTGGCTCCTTTGTGGCCAATGTAGGAGTTGGTGGAGCACTTGATCATTCTGGATCAGCGCACGGTTCGGTTCCTTCTGGTAGTGCTATTTCTGACAGACCAAGTAACAGGTTCCTTCCAACTCTTTCAAGCCCACAAGCCTTGTTACCCCAGGCATGGAGTGCGACGAGTGGCCAAAGTGCGGGCACACTTATGCGGACGGGCTCGATGTTGCATACACATGGACAAGGAGAACGAAACTCTGGGAATATGGCTGAGAGACTAGGTAAGTAAGGCTAGCTATTGATACTAAGGAAATTATATTCCTCTTTTTCACAAAGTATGGAATTTTTATAGCCTTTGTTATTTTTGAGTAGGTTTTCGAAAACTATTATATCTTGCTAAGCTAGTTCCCATAGCGCCAGTTAAGAATCTCATGTCCATATCGTACGAAAATTAGAATGGTTAGAATTCAAATTTTCTACGATAGAATAAATGTATGGTGGATAAAACATCAAAATTTGCTTCTAGGTATAAGAAATATATCATAATCCACACACTTCCTCTTCAGATGCGTTTTCGTCCAGGAAATGAATATTTACTATACAATGGGAATTTATTCATTAGTTTATATTTTAATTTTATTGCAATGAATCATTGTTTAGTAGATTACCAAGCTTGTTACTTTGCTAAGTTGTAGCTCTGTGCTAATGATAGCACCTCTCATTGACGATGCCGACTACGATACCCGTGAAGCATTTGGGAATATACCAAGTCAGTGGTCCGATACTGGAAATCACGAATACTATGGCAGAGGACATAGGATAGGAACGTTCCACAAGGTCTTCCTGACGCTAAACATAATAATGGAATGAAGATTGGAATACTCAGGATCATTGCCATAAGAAGCCTACGATATACTGATTCTGAGCTCTGGGAAGAGGAACTGGAGATACTAATTCAGATATTTCCTGTAAAGGAAGTTCCGGAAGAAGCAATACAACGCAATAAACGGAGAAGATTAGTAGATGGAACGATGTAGATTATGAAAGGAAAGGAAAGAAACGGAAGAACAACGATGGGTGTCTACTCTCCTACGATTTGGCTCAGAAGCTACAGCCAATATTTAGAAATTGAAAATTAGTGCAATCCTGAAAAAAAGGACAACCCTCTTCACCAGCTTGCTCATTCAACATAAAGAAGTCAATAAAATTGAGTGTTTCCAAGTTTACAGCATAAAGAGCATTAAACAAAAATATATCGGATGAACGAGAAAGGCAATCAGCACATGGATCAAATAATACCAGCGACTAGGCAGAAAAATGGATACGGAAAGATCGGAGATACCTAAACACATCGCGTTTACCCACCACTCAAATGAAGTCAACGGAAAGGCTGACCTCATATGGGAAGAAAAGCAGAAAGCCTGTGGACATTATCTTTCAAAGGAACCTCATGAACAGGAGATTGGAAGAGTGATAAGTCAGAGATAATTTAGTGAACTGGGCAGTCTTGGAGATTCAGCGAAGAGAGCACAAGGAAGACGTTTGAACCTAGGACAACCATTAAAAAACAGGAATAGATATCGACAAGGAGTAGATCATAAGTAACAAAATGAAATCAAGAAAAGACGATTGCAGTGAGAATAAAACCTGGTATCAGACGAAAAAATTTACCTGGGGGGTCCACATGTGGGATGTGGTATAGAAAATTTAAGGCTAAACCTATAGATAAGCCAGTGTGTGCGTGTGCTTGTGTGCTTTAATGAAGGGTGACTAGTGACCCGCCTAGCCACGGGAGATACCAAACAACGTGCACATAACCATAATCCTAGTACTCTATGACTTCACTGTCAACTTTAGAGACGAGATCAGTGTGCTTTTTGAAATTCAACAGAGGAAAAAGGAAAACGGTGCTATTTCACATCAGCGGTTATGACTTAAGCTGGACACATGACCAGAAAGAATGCGATACAATGTGGGTAGAGATTAGAAAGAGGATAACTGAGTCATGGGTACGAAGACTAAGGAAACATTAGCATAGGCATGGACATGAGCACCATATGTTCTAAATACCCAAAGATTGCTTAATCGCGGAAGAGAATTAAAGAAACCTAGTCAGCCAGATTTCATACATTCAGGTTAAAATAGGAGCCAAGACAGATCCCATTGCTAGACATTGCATTTGTTAATAAACCTTATCATTAAAGGTAAATTATGTGCTGCTCATGGATAGATTAAGAAGCCTTAAGATTGAGAATTGCTCAGATCTGCTTCCCAAATAATTTTTGGGTGCTTATCTAGGCTCTATGAACGGGGATGTTAGTATGCATTGATACCACATCAAAACTAATCAAAAGATCCTTCTCTTTAATATTCTGTTAATCTATTAATCTAGCAAATTCATATGAATGCTTCACTTAATATTTCCAATTATCAGCCAATTTCCTTAGTTGTCTACATAAGAAACGTGAGATCCTATGCATCACAGTTCCTTTATTATTAACAATCAATCTTAAAGGAACTCCTTCCTTGT